GAGCAAATTAGTGGAGTACCTCCTTTGAAAACGGTCTGTTCTAAACCAAGGTCAGCTGGATTCTGGCCACAGGTTGCTCTCAGTACTTCCTCTCTCAGAGGGTTGCTTGTTCCTGGCAGAGAAGCCGCCAGGGTGGGGGAGAGGGACTTGCTATTGGAGCAGCCATTTTGCACGACTCACCAGGCAGTTTATAGCTTCATTTAGCTTCACTGGGGGTTGTAGAATTACTAATCACACTGTCTGCTGATGTAAACTCTATTTGGATTCAATGTTTTAAAATAGCCTCAAATACAATTATCACCCTAAGGATGGCACTGGTTGGATGACTAGAGAAATATCATTCAGATAGTTCATTTAATTACAGAGCTCCGAAAACAGCATATGCCAGGCAGAGGGGATGAGTCACAGAGCTGAGATCACGGGCCAGAGGGGATTCATCGCTCTCTCCTGGCGCCAGCATCAGGAGGTGGCCTTCTTGATTGACAGAGGGACTCTTCCTCTCCTTGCTGTCTCCCTAGCATCTGTGGGAAGGTGCTACCAGAGGCCCAGAAATACATCCATGCCAGGGCCATTCACAGGGCTTCAAACAGCTCTAGTCTTCTCCCTGGTTGCTCACAGCACTTGTAACTGAAGGTGGCTGGCTGGTCACTCATTTAGTGAATGAGTCTATTGCCTTTGCCGTCTTAAGCACTGTGTGGAAGACTATTTACTAGGGGCAAAAGGGACCTCAGCCCTTACTGCCTGGGAGCCCCTGCTGACCTCCCAGCCAGAGGAACCTGAAGATCCAGTGCACAGGACAGGGTGGTCACCCCGAGGCAGAGCTGGTTGCATTGCCCCATACCCAAGTTCCAAAATTTGTTTAAAGTTGTAGAAGTGTTTGCAAAGCAGCAGGAGGCTTGCCACCTTGGACGAGTCACCCTTTGAACCTTGGTTTCCTCAGCTGGAAATGGGGATAATATTAATGTTCACCTCGAAGAGTAATTGGATTGAATGATGGGAGGAATGGAAAGTTTTTAGCGTAATGCTTGGCAAGTAGCCATGGAATCAAGAAATGGGAGCTATTCTTGCTGTCATTTGACCACATACACAGTTTTACTTATACCCTCAGATGAGAACGATTCAAATCTTTACTCCCTCGTCTGGGATGCTCTTGTCACTGGTCAGGCCCTCTCCACATTTGGGTCCCCTTGTGATGGTGCTAAAGACTGACTACTCAAATTCTTTTCCTGAACTTTTAAAATCATAAAATTGATGAGAGGTTGCACCCTGTCTCCTGGACAGCAAAGGTCCCCCAACAACTCTAGGTTAAAATTGGAGGACCTCTTTTCCCCTTCCCATTGTTTTGGGAAAAAGTATTTTTTAAGAGAAATAGCCTAGCTGACTGCACTACCCTATTTTCCTCCGAAGTGAATGCCAGACATTTTTGGGGGCGGAAGACAGGATTAACATTTCTCAGCCTGGTAAACACACCCACCTGGGTTCAGCACAGGGAGCATTAGTGCTCTATTTCCTGTAATCAGCTTGAAGGATCCAGGCCTTTGAATTTAAACTCTAGAAGTGATTTTTCCATGCTGGAAGCTGTTTCAGTTACAGCTTCTTGCAGATGAACTTCAGGTAAGTGGCAACCTTACAAGCCCTGGCACTTAAGTGACTAGTTTGCACAATGGGAACCTTGTGACACAATGAAGAGGCCACCTGGAGGCTGAGAACACAACCGTTGGACAGAGTGAGTGACATCCTGCTCTGAGTGCTTGCAGACATGCCAGACACCAGGTGAGACTCTGAACAGTGCCAGGGGACTCAACCCTGGGCCCCATTCTTAAAGACTTGCAGTCCAAAGTGGGGACACGTTTCCATGTAATAGGCTGGGAGCCTGGGAATAGGTGGCAACCTTGGTGCTGTGAAAGCTTCGGCCCAGCTTGCGGTTGAGGATGTGATTGAATCTCCAGGATTAAGTAACAGTCAGTCGTGTGAAGAAAGGTGGGAAGGGCCTTTCAGGTAGAAGCAAGCTGAGACCCCAAGGTCTGAAACAGTGCGTGTCTCTGTGTGTGCGCGCGTATGCTCAAGGCAGCCCAGTACTCAAGCACAAGACAGGGACTAGCTGGGTACACGTTTGCCCATCACCATCATTTTGAGAATCAGGAAGTCTTCTAGGAACTGCCCCAGGAGCATATCTTCAATACAGCAGATGTCTAGGGCGTGAGTTGCAGAGTGTGATGAGCTCTCCCAGGATGCGCCAGACCAAGCACTCACATTTCCAAGCTCTATCTTAGAGTGCAATGGGCCTAAGTGTGAGAATTAGAGTTCAATGGGTGGCAGATTGGTCTGTGGAGGCAGAGGCACCGGAGCCCGGAGGCGGGGAGGGACTTCAGGACACAGCAATCAGTCCAGAAAGGTCTCGGCTGTAGGCCACAGGAACAAGATTCAGGGCATTCGCAGAGGTCATTAGGCAGGTGGCCATAGGGTGATCTGATAGCAGATTCCACTTTGCTCAACATTCCTTCAGTTTGGAAGACTTGGAGCAGACAGAGCCTGGCTCCTGAGGCTGGAGCTCTGCACTTTTCCATTCGTTTGTATTCTACACAATTTGGGTGAAGGGTGCTTAGTAAGGGAGGGCCGAACATATGAGACCTGACACCTGGCTGCCATCAGCTCACCCATGGGAACCCCAGCGCAGGAGTTAACAGGAGCCAGACAGACCTGAGTTTCACAAAGTGCCAGATTCTTTGCTGTTAAAATGAGGATAATGTTGCTCATGGGTGTCAGACGTGTTAGTGTGTGAGGTGTGGCATCACAATGAGTGTTGAATAATAATGGGCTTTATCCAGGTCTCCTGGATAAAAGGCTATAGTCAGTAGCTAATCTTGAATTGTTTGGGCTACTTGGGGGACAGTGCTGCCCTTCAGTTTGGAGACCTCCTTTAATATCGCCATGGTGGACAGTGGTGTCAGCTCATCTATAATCACACGCTTAGGAACCCAGCGTTGGTTGTTGCCGAAGGGCCTCCAACTGGCTTTTCTTCCTTTCTGCACTACTGCTCCTGCTGAGCTCTGTTTATGGAGCCGGCAGCTTCTGGCCACCCTCTCCATAGGAGTCTGCCAGAGAAAGGGCCCCCGGTGAGAAGTGGTGCCACCAGGCTTTGCATTTGCTCTTCTAACAGAACTTGATGAGACTAAACATTTCCACTGTCCCTCCTGGGTTTCAAAATCCAAGATGGAATGATTTTAAATTATTAATGAGTTTGTTGTTTATGATAGAGGTATTGCAGATTCAAGGTGTTTTTTTTTAAAAAAAAAAAACAACACAGGACACTGAGGTGGAGTTCTTTTACTTGTCCTGGCTTCAGCCTTTTAATCCGTAAGTGAGAGACAGTAGTAATACCTTCCTCCAAGGCTTACTGTGGAGATTAAATGAAGGCATTTGAAAAATGTTTGGTGCCATGCCTGGGGAAGCAAGTGCCTGCCATGCTAGTGATTATCAGCATGGCCATTCTCTGTCCAGAGATTATGTAGGGTCTTTTCCCAGAAACAGTCCAGCTGACAAGAAAAAAACTATGCATGCACATGCCACAAAGAGATGATACACTTACTGCTCTGCAGCTTCCTGTTTTTAGTTAATAATAATCTAAGGCATTTCCATATTCATGCATATTGATCACCCACATTCTTTTAAATAACGGGGCAGTATTTTATTGACTGGGGCACCACAATTTATATGAGCAAAGGAGAGCATTTAAAATATATCATTATGTATTTGTTCAGAGGTTTTATATTCCAAAATATATGCACCCATTTGAATAACCCAAACATCCTTTTCAGCGTTCACAAATCTTACAAACTTGACCCACACTGTGTCTGCTGAGAGGCGAGCTGGAACCTCAAATCAAGAGCAGATGGACATACCTACCTAACGGGGCTGGTTAGAAACAGCATGTTACTACACTTATTCCAGACTAATTTGGAACAGAATAGAATGTTAGAGGAGGTGTAACAGTTGTTTGTTCAAGCTTTTAACTACCATATAAAAGGATCACTGGTTTTACTATTATTTTTCTATTTGGCTTCCTGGCACCTCGATTCAATCAGTGTCCCGCTGTTCAGGGGTATTTTGAAGTGTGCGAGTCTTAATTGAAGTGGTAGTGCCTGAAACCCGAGTTAATACCGTGAGCAACAGGGAGTCCAGTTTATGGAGGTAAATTGTTGCTAGCTCTGCATTTCAACTACTTTTGGCTCCTGGGGTCCATTTTAGTTCTGATGGTGGGCTGGATGGTTGGGAGCTGGGTTAGGACAGAGCTGCAGCTCCCGTGATTCTGCTGAGCTTTGGGTTTCCTTGGAATGTAAGAAAGGAGTTCTGCTACAGGCTCCAGGGGCCCTGGTTGGATAGCACCTGGCATGTGAAGTCTACTGAATGTACCAGGCACTGTGGCGGGAGCTAGAGAGAGAATGGACAAGATGAGACAGGGTCCCTGTCCTGTAAGGTTCTCAATGGGGGGACAACATAAACAAGGAAGCAAACAAAAGAAATAGAGCTTGTGACTGCACCAGCATGGAAAAAACCAGTGATAAAGCGGAGAGTAACTGGGGGAACCCACTTTCCATGTTTGGTTAGAGGGGTGAACACACGAGCTGAGACTTGATAAATGAGAAGGGCCCAGTTCCAAGAAAAGTTGAGAAAGACCATTCTAGGCAAAAGGAAGAAAAAGGGCAAGGCCCTGGGGTGGGGAAGCACTCAGCATGTTTGGCGAACAGAGGAAAGCCCACGTGGCTAGGTCATGGTGAGGAAGAGAAACTATCCCAAGGGGGCCCATATCTTGCATGGTTCNTGTTTGGCGAACAGAGGAAAGCCCACGTGGCTAGGTCATGGTGAGGAAGAAGAGAAACTATCCCAAGGGGGCCCATATCTTGCATGGTTCCCTAGACCATAACAAAGAGTTTGGATTTCATTCTCAATGCTATGGGAAGCCACAGATTCTAGGCAAAACAATGTAGTTTGATGCCTACCTTTTCAAAAAGATCACTTGAGTTCCATGTGGAAAGTACATTGAAGGAGACCAGAGGAGAAGGTGACAGCTGTTTTCCATGCAAGAGGTGATGGTGGAGCCCAGCTGGCGTGGCTCAGTGGTTGAACATTGACCTATGATCCAGGAGATCGCAGCTCGATCCCTAGTCGGGGGTGTGCAGGAGGCAGCTGATCAATGACTCTCATCATGGATGTTTCTCTCCTTCTTCCTTCCTCTCTCTGAAATCAATAAAGACATACATATACACATATTTTTTAAAAAGAGGTGATGTTGGAGGAGGCAGCAGCTACAGCAGAAGTTATACAGCTTAGTTATATAAATCCCCTCCAGCAGGTCAGAGCTCACTACAGGCTCCAGGGTATGAAGATTCTCCATGATTCCCAATCAACCCGCTTGCCCCTCATTTATTGAGCACTTGCCTAGCACAGAGATAAATGTCTGGTACAATAGGAGTTATAGGACACAGCAAGGCAGATGTCTGTCTCATTGCCTAGAATAATAAAGTGGGTTCCTAAGAGTTCACTTTATTATTCTTATACAGTATATCCTTTAGTATGTGTCACATATTACATCCTGTTTTAGAATGGCATTTTGGCTAGGGGAAGTCAAGAATACCCAGATTCTTCCTTTGCCCTATCACTTCTACCTAGACCTAGTTCCAAGGCAGTACATGTACAAAGGAGGTAATGACAGGTAACTGGGAGGACAGTTCTCTCCAAACCCCAGTGCAGGGAGAGGTAAGCCAGGCTGGGTGGGCGCTGCCCCTTTTCCCGGTGTTGGCTGAACTACGAGACCTGCTTATGGGTTGTGAGGTCTAGTATTGACTACCCCAGAGCTCACACCTGAATCTCAGATTTTGCTGCTGTGATGGGAAGAAAAGTTGGGACTCACCCAGAGGACAAGATCAAGGGATCCCCCAGAGCCAAGTGCAGGGTTGGTGCAGGAGGGTTGGTGCAGGTCGAAGAAGACAGGGAGTAGAGGCAGGGTGGTCAAATGTTCAGGGAGCAGGCCTGCCCTTTTTTTAAATATATATTTTTATTGACTTTAGAAAGAGGGGGAGAGAGAAACATCAATGATGAGTCATTGGTCAGCTGCCTCCTGCACACCCCCTGCTGCAGATTGAGAGGGAAACCTTGGCATGTGCCCTGACCAGGAATCAAACCGGAATTTCCCAGATCATAGGTTGATGTGTAACTGCTGAACCACACTGGCCGGGCCTGCCCTTTCTTACTCTTGTTACCATTTTACAGGAGGGGGCTTAGTAAAGAGAGCCACAAGGTACCCCAAGGTCCCTTTTACTCAATGACTGTCTGCTGGCAAATGTGGCCCACTCCAGGGAAACTCGTGTTACATAAGGGCAGAATCAGGCTCTGATGGGAGGAGTGCAGGAAGGGACCCTGGATTCCTTCTCCTGGAGGACAGTCCTCTTCAAACAGGGCAACTCCAGTTTAATAAAACTTATTTAAATATATCTTTATTGATTTCAGAGAGGAAGGGAAAGGGAGAGAAACATCAATGATGAGAGAGTCGGCTGCCTCTTGCACGCCTCCTACTGGGGATTGAGCCCGCAACCTGGGCATGTGCCCTGACCAGGAATCGAACCATCATCTCCAGGATCACAAGTTGATGCTCAACCGCTGAGCCATGCCAGCCAGGCCAGTTTAATAAAATTTAAATTGACGCACTTCTTGGGGTTTAAAAATGTTACACTGCTTCTTTTCCCTTCCACTCAAGGAGCCTACAGTCTCCTGCAAGGAAGTGCTTCCCAGCCCTTTTGATCAGGACCGGCATTGTTGGCTTTAATCCCTACTGGGTGAGAGCAGCGGTCTGGGTCCTTAGGGATAGAGCTCCCTCTGCTGGCTCATGAGCTGGAGCCTTGAGGATGTTAAACAGAACCCTTCCTAGGGTGACATTTGGGATACGTATCAGGGTTCTACAGAGAAACAGATCCAATAGGTCATATATATACATGCATACAGACAACTATATCTATATAATCTATATCATTATCAATATCAATCTATCTACCTATCAAGAAAGATAATTTGTTTCAAGGAATAGGCTCATGTGATTGCTGGGGCTGATAAGTCCAAAATCTTCAGCTAGGCCAGGAGGCTGGACACTCAGGCAGAACTTCCATTACCTTTTTAAGGCAGAATTCTTTCTTTTCCAGGAAACCTCAGTTTTTGCTCTTAAGACCTTCAACTGATTTAATAAGGCCCACTCATATTATTGAGTGTAATCTCCATTACTTAAAGTCAACTGACTGTAAATTTTAATTGTATCTACAAAATATTCCCACAGCAACATCCAGACTAATGCTTGACTGAACTGGACACTATAGATGTCTCCACATTCTCACCAACACGTGTTATTTCCTGTGGGGTTTGGATAGAAGCCTTTCCTTGTGATTGTTCCTCATCAATTTTTGTAGGTAGCCCCTCTTCCTCTGAATTATGTTAGTGTCCTCTCATGCTTCTTAGCTTCTAGACCTGCCGCAGGTGATACTTTCTCATACTAAGACTTCAGTTACATCTATAGATTGATTACTCCCAAAGCCAGTCTGGTCCCCTACATGAGCTCTAGACTTCTATATCCATTTGTATTGAGCAGCTTTAAATATATGCCCGATCAGCAAGTGTAAAACCAAACTAACTTTCCCTAAAACCTGTTCTTCCTCCTGTATTTGCCAACTCAGCGAAAGGCCCCACAACCTGGGTGGTCAGCCAAGCCCTAAACCTGGGAGTTATCTCAGGGTTCCCTTTCTCCCACCCTTCTTCCTCTCTGTTGCCTTGTATCCATAACTTCTGTCTTTTCCCATTGCTACTGGCTTAATCCACTGGATCTAAATCTCCTTATCTCTTACCCAGACTATTGTTTTATTTTTGTGGGCTTTTTTTTTTCTTTTTTCTTTTTCTTGCTGGGGCTATTGAACTTATGTCCCAGAGCTCTCTCAGCCTGAAAACTTTCATTCCTGTAGTCATTCATACAACTGCCTGAGTTATCCTGCTCTGATACAGATCTGACAGGCTCCTCTGCTAAAACCTCTGAATACACCTGGAAGAGTAAAGGCCCCCCAACAGCCAGGATACTTCTAAAGAGCAGGAAGTTGGAGGGAGACTAACCTACAGAACTTATGAAGATAGTTTTGTATTGGCACAGGCAGAGACGTTGGCCACTGGAACACAATAGAGAGCCCAGAAACTAAGGTGTGCCTGTAGGAAACTCGGGTGTGCGACTCTGGTGACCACGGAGGCGTCCTCCCCAGATCTCCCTCCAAGAGAACCTGCTACAAGGAGCGCACTCCACGGACAGCCTCCGTTTCTCCCTCGGAAAAAAACCAGTTTAGCCACGTGCCCCTTCGCTGTTCCCACTGACTCTCAACGGGGCCCAACTCCCTCGTCACGGTCTCTTCG